TGATCTGACAGCATTCTGTCTGATACAGAGAGAAAGCTTGCAAAACAGTCTCGCATTGGTCGAATCAGAACCAATCCTGACTTGGGTTCTATCTAAGCCCGAGTTTGGGTTTTAGTCGGGTTTAAGCTTTTAAAATCTCATCTCAGGTATTAGCCTCTTTTGCCTCATTCTAGGAGGATCTGTAATTCTGGCTCGGATGAGATTAGGAGGTCTTCTATAGGTAACCATCGGTGGATTTTGAAAAACCTCCTTCATCCAAGGATCCTGGAACATGGTTCTCAAAGTTTCTGTATGATGAAGGAGATACAAGACAGATTAAATGAGATAGAGATTATAACTCCATCTGGTTTCTCATTTTTCTTCACTTTCTTTAAATCAACTTCTGTAGGTATAGCTTTAGCTCGGACTATATCGCAGAGTCAACAATTGAAGAATTGTAATCCCTGCTGAGAAGAAAATCCCTTAGATTTGAGAATCCCTAAGTTATGGTTTGCTGGTACAGTTCTGTATGCAAGTGAATAAGGTATGTTGTTAGAAATATGTGCTGGGGGGCAAGATACTTTTTGTTCTGTGGCCCCAACAGACGTGTTCATCCTTTTAACTACAATAAAATGGAGAACTATGTTCTAGAGTAAACTTGATTGTAGGATGAATTTTATTGATATCATCAAGGAATTGATATAATTTCTCAATAGAATCTGTCCAGATTCCAAAACAATCATCCAGAAATCTTTTCCAGATCTTCAGGGGGCATAAGATTTGTATTGAAATACAATAAAAATAAATCCTAAGGGAGAAGAATATTTGAAGTGAGTAAATTCTCTTTGATTGATGGATTAAACCCTTAACATGGAGAGTTTAAACCTTAATGGTAAGGGGTAGGTGAGGGGAGGATTGAGCTAAGTATTATTATAATCATTCTATTAATATGCATTTGTCCATCTAATGACCAATATATAGATTGTCGTTATTGTTTATTCTTTTTTTCATTTTTGAATTTCTTTACGACCCCCCCCCACCCCCTCTCCCTTCTTTCAAATATTTTTAAATCGTAAGAAATAGTCGAATATCAAAATATTTGTATAAAATATTTAAATATATTTCTGAAAAGAAAGAATAGTACTTTCAAATATTAAAAAAAAAATGTTCATCTGTTGAACCTTTTGGTTTGATCAAATAAATGTTTTTATTTGTAAATGCAGAACAACTTATGGAAATAAATAGGTTTGCATTAGATTTATATATAGTGATATAAACTGCAATCCACCTACGAAATGATGAAACAATGGGAAAATAAACAAGAAATAAAATTTAATTTATTTGAATGTGAAATATCTTAAAAAGTGAATATCAAATTCAGGGGCGTATTCAGGGGGGGGCGATAGAGGCTAAGCCCTCCCCAGGACCAGTGAAATCTATTGATTTCAGGGGGTTTTCAGCCCCCAACGGGTGCTGAGCCCCCCCCCCCTGGAAAGATAAAAAAATTTAAGCCCCCCCTGGACAAATTCCTGAATACGCCCCTGATCAAATTGCATGGTTTTACTCAGCAAAATAAAATGGAGATTTTTGATTGTTTTCTGAGAAGAAACAGGAACAATACAAACATACGTATTACTACGTATAGAAAGTGTGATCTCATATGACCTTGTCAAAAACATGTTGAATGACCTTGAATATTGAGCAATATTAGGTGGAGTAGGATAAATCGATTGTTTTTTTTATTTATATATAAGTTGCTTCTGAAACGAAAAATTATATAAAAAGTTTTTATGAACCAAATTTTTGGGAACACTCCCTTTAGATTAAAAATTTAAGTTGAACAACTTTAGTTTAGAGTATTTTCCTTAATTATCTTAACAGAAGTTGATTTTTATATCAACAGTAAATCAAGTAAATGCGCAAAATACTGACAAACTTTGGCTAAAATGCTAAATTACCAACCTTCTATCAGAGGGCAGGAAACTGAAAAATTAAGTTTAGTTTGAAACGAGTTAAACAGCTCATAGATTAATAATAATACAGATTGAACATTGTTGTCTTTTCCAGATTTAGGGGGTTTTTCTTTCACAATAACCCTGTGGCAGGAGCTTATCGTGAATACCGCGTTGAATTACAAGAAAGAGCATGAGGGTAACTCCTTTGTGCCTCTGCCTTAGGGTTATTGTGAATGAAAAACCCCTAAATCTTGAAAAGACGACATCTTGTGTTATATCTGTATTATTTTTTGTCTATGATCAAAATGATCTGAAGTAAACACTTTTGTGTTGTTAAACTTGTTAATCCCCTTGAATCAAGCAGCTATCCGTATCATATTTTGTGGGTTAAACGATTAGATCAATTCATCATGGATATTCCGTGTATATAATTAAATTGAAGGATAAAGCACTTAATTCTTAAATAAAAAAATGTCAAAGTGGATATCAAGATCAAAATTGTGATACGCTTTTTTTCTGCACAGGGGTTTTTAACTCTGAAAAGATTTTTTTCATCCATTTGTATTGCAAAACTAACTTTCATAATAAGTTTCAACTAATTCTAATTCTTACTTATTTATAAGTTTCCATCTCTCTCTTACTAATTCATTTTTCATTCCTGCAAGAAATTGATTCTTTTTATTTGAAAATTATAGTAAATGATCAGATGAAAATAGTAATCCATGTATAATTAATAGCATTTTATCAAAAATATTAGTTTACTAGCCTTAGAGGGCGCTTCGCGCCCATCTTCTAAATTAATTGTGAACATGTTCTCTTTGTGTACATCATAAAACAAAACAAAAATAATTCGCGGATTTTCACAAAAAATTTCGTGGATTTTCAAAATTTTTAAAAATTTAATGAAGATCGATCACTGAAGTTAAGCACAATTGTCCACAGCCTTTAACTGGATTGGTGTCCAGACCCGGTGTTCACGGGGTCGATTCCAGTCGTTTCCGGTACTCCACACAAACCTGTGCTTTCAAAAACTTCTAAAGCCGAAATCTGGTTTAGTAGTTATGACCACCTGACAGATGTAGGAGGACAGAGGGGCGGCTGTCAACAACTCTCGCAGTAAAAGGGTGCGTGATCTCTACTCAACAAGAAAGAAGCATTATATAAGTGTACAAGAGTATTGATCCAAGTGAATGATGATGAAGAGAGGAAAGGTGGACAAGCAGGCAGAGCTAGCCTATGGTTGCCAGCTATAGGTACCTGGAGGTATCCAATCCGGGCTTGCAAATGATTTGAGCAATGAGTGTGATGTTACCTTTTAGGTACCCGGGCCTCATTCCAGTATATCAGAAGAATTCCCTACATGTGCTGCATTGTTAACAAAGATGTATGTATGTTCTGATTTAAAAACATCAAAATTTTGCTAAACACTCCTTTGTAGTTACAGGAACATAATTGATTTAGTGAAGATATTGATACAGTTGTATTCCGGTACAATTTGGTTTGTTGAAATACAATCCGAGAATAGGAAGCATCTTGTTTAGCCTTGTTTATTGAGTTCAACTTTACCTTCAGAATTTATACAGGGAAACAAGTTTCACATATAAAGGGATACAGGGATATAGGATTACAGGGATACGGGAATACAGGGATATAGGATTGCAGGGATACAGGGACACAGGGACACAGGGATACAGGGATAGCTAAAGGGATACAGGTATAAAAGGATACAGGAATAAAGGGATACAGGGAGAAAGGGAAAAGGGGATGAAGGAATAAGATGGAGGATAAAAGGGAAATTAGATAAAAGGGATTAAAGGAATAAAAGGGTACAGCAATACAGAATTAAATAAAGGGATACATGGAGAAAGGGAAAAAAAGATGAAGGGATAAGATGGAGGATAAAAGGGAGGATAAAAGGTATTTGCTGGATAAAAGGGATAAATTAAAAGGGGGATAAAAAGTGATAAAAGGGATAAAATTAAACAGAGGGATAAAAACAAATAAGAAAATAGCTTTGCAATTTATAAAGGTTTCATTTGCAAAACCAATATTTCTATAAAAAAAAAATTTAGATGACAAAATCCGGATATTTAAACCTTGTACTTTAAACTGCATTTTCCCTCTAATGCCGGCTAAATATTCAATTCAAATTATAGGTTTGATTATTGGCTGTTTTTCAAATGGACAAAGTAAATTGAATAAAAACTTTAAAGAAAAAAGGGACAAAAAACAATTAAAATAAATGTCATACATTACAAAGCTAGGCTTGGTCCTACTGACTGCCCACTGCCAGGAACTAAATTTCTTTTTATACACTGTTTTTGTTTAAATACAGACTTTAAATCATCCGTTCACGGGAGTTTTAAAAACTCCCTCATAAAACTTGTCCTTTTTCTCCTCAGGTGACGGTATACCGATCAGTTCAACCGTCAGAGTTAGCAGAGGAGTAGGAGGAGGCTTGGAATTGAGAAAAGTTCAGTTTCAAATTAAAAACGTTTATTAACATTGAGCTTTGAATTAATTGTAAAAATTCAATCAAAATTATGTTATCATGTTGTAAACAACAAATTAAGAGCTATTTTGATGTATGCCTCAATACAAATAAAAAGAAGAAAGCATTTTAGATTTTAGAGTATTTACATATCTCACTCATGGACCCGGAAGGCGTCGGTAGGAGGCCTTGATTTGGCTTCAAGGCCCAGGGTTTCAGCGCCTTGAAGGCGGGGTTTAACAGAGATATAGGAGGCCTTAAATAGACCAGTAAGGCGTGGGTATAAGCATTCTTCAATATTAGCCATATCATATTACTAATGGGTATGCATCTGTCCAGGGGTCCCTATGTTGCTACCTATCCGTCTAACTATCTCTCCGTGTAATCTGACAACATTCGAAGTTGCAGCTCCTGCTTGAGACTTCTTTCTTCTATAGGGAGAGGAGCTTTGTAGTTACCTTTATTATTTCAGAACAGGTTTCTAAAATAAATATTATATCTGACTTATATTTCCTGGATTATAAAGTATTCCAAACTTTTTATAAATATCATATCTGACTTATATTTACTGGATTATAATATCTCCAAGATGTACAATCAAAGTTAAGTACTATAGATATAAGATATTGTTAAGAAAAATTATTTATTGTAATTAAATATCTATACCTGGTCAAAGTAATCATCATCTTACAGTGAATTTTTGAACTCCTTCAATTCCTCTGAAATATATGATTATAACTAGTTGTTTTAAATTCGCAATTTAATATACCTAAATTCCTAATTTTGTGGTGTGAGAGACCCAGTTTACTAATAGGCAATGCATTTTCACTGAAAATAAATAATTAATATATATCTATTTATTTGCTTTCTAGTTCCCGATTATGTCAATTCTTTCTTGTAATTCAACATCCTCGCCTTCAGATCCAGTTTCTTTGGATGGACGTGAGCTGGACTGCTGGGTACGTACAACTACGAAGGAAGTGATTCTTTACAACTTCCCAAAACTTGACAGCCTCATTAAAGGTGAGATTTTTTTATAAAAACTCGTCGTCATTTTCATAACGAAACGATCGTTTAAAAAAAAAATGAAAACGTTAACATCCCTAGTTGAAAGCAAACAGGAAAATTATGCCAATTACTTCTTTAAGTTAGATTAAAAACAATGGTTTACAGTTCTAACAAAAACATGTCTATGTCTACAAAAAAAGTTAAGTCAGTTAGAGAGGTTTAATAAAAAAGCAAGGCGTTGCGATACATTAAAGTTGTCCCAGTCTTAAAAGTTTTCAATGCAGTCATGATCTTTGTGAATTCTTGCATGCGCCTCTTACTTTCAAATTCAACAGTTTTTTGATTAAGTTTGGAAAACACATAAAAAGTCAATTGTAATCAAAATTTATCTCATGTTCCAATTTGAAAATTTTACAATTTTAATAAATTCAATTTTCTGTTTTGAATTTTATAAAACCGCAAATAGATTAAAAACTAAAATGTCAGATTATAAACTATTTTTACAATTCAGGCAAGCAATGACCTACAGCTAGACTACGGCTTAGACAATATTTTTTCAAATACATATACTTCACTTCTTCCTAAATCCAAATACAGCCAAGTTTGAAAAGAGTCTTTGTTAATAAAAATCTTCACTTTTTTATCAAAGTTTTTCGAAAATACCACTCTTAATAAAAGTTTGAGTGTATTATGCAAATTATCGAATATACTTTAAAGAAAAGTTTAATCTAAACTTTCAGAATATAAATATATATTTTAGTTTCTCTTCACTTTACACCTGTATTCGATAATCCATAAAAATATTATCAAAACACAAAAATACGAGTAAAACATTTTTTAACCCTGCAAAGACTTAGGGGGTTTGAATCTATGTATAGCCTAATGGGGGGGGGGGGCGTCCAACTTTTCAAGGCCGGCTCATTGAATTTAGATCACTAACCTTAATAGTTTGGGTGTTAGGGAGGTTTAAAAATGCTTTTAGGGCGCTTTGTGCACCATCCTCTATTTCAACCTTTAATATCTGAGAGCATCTTGAAATTGAAACAAAAAAAATTTGCGGATTTTCAATTATTTTTTGCGTATTTTTTAAAGATTTTATATTATTCAAAAGCATTTGTGAACAACTTTTTTTTAACTCTGAGTATTTCATAAACCTTCCCTGGGGTCATGCGAGGCACCACACAAAATTTGGACCCGATCGGTTCAGCTGTTTTGATTTTTATTGGATACGAACACCCTGTCAGACAAGCAAAGTATATATAAGGATAAATTTTCTATTTTTCTATTTATCTCTTTATCTATCTATCTATTTATCTATTTATCTATCTATCTATTTATCTATCTATCTATCTATCTATTTATCTATCTATCTATTTATCTATTTATCTATCTATCTATTTATCTATTTATCTATCTATCTATTTATCTATTTATCTATTTATCTATTTATCTATCTATCTATTTATCTTATCTATTTATCTATCTATCTATTTATCTATTTATCTATCTATCTATTTATCTATTTATCTATTTGTCGCTTTGTTAAACCTAATTCAAAGCACACAATAAAGCAATCAAACAATAATTTGCTGTCCTTAATTTGAAGGGATAATTAATTTTCTTTAATTGTTATAATGAGACCAGTTTTCATTAATATTAAATATTGATGAAACCATACTGTGAAAACGACCATTATCACTATAAATAATAATATTTAGTAAATATTATACCCCCTCCCCCCTCCTTCTCTACCTAGCATAATTATACCCCTTCCCCCCCAAAAAAAATCGTTTTCATATTTAATACGTTATAAATTGTCATAACTGGTCTTTCATTTTTTTATTTAGTCAAAAACACAAGAACTACATTAAAGTCAAGTTTTAGCTGCTACACGTCAGACTAGAGTGAATTGTACGTGTATAAGTTTAAAATATTACATTTTTTCAATCGTAACTGAATAAATTGTGTGTAAAAAAGCAAAAGAAGCTTCGAGGTAACAAAGTCGTACTAGTGATATGGCGTAAATATTAACGTAATGTGTATACAAATACTTTGGACCATAGATTAATTAACAATAACAGATTGAACACTAGATGTTGTCTTTTCAAGATTTAGGGATTTTTTCGTTCATAATAACCCTGAGTTATGGGCATGCGGCGTAAAACAGGCTCTCTCTTTGGAGAATGCGCGTGACTCCTTTTGGCTTCTGCCTCATGGTTATTGTGAACGAAAAAAACCTTAAATCTTGAAAAGACGACATCTATTGGTCTATCATTTATTGTTTTTTTATCTATGGTCCCATTTGTCCTCATGTTCACGATTAGGAAAATGAATTCTAGTCTGTTGCTCACAATTACTCCTATTAGGCGTAGATTTAGTCTTTCTGCAGTAATTATAACCTAGCAATAATCTCACTCCTTTATTTCCACCAGTATTATATATGTCACAGTTATTTAAAGGTAAAAATTATATTTCAACTTTACAGACTGTAAAGTTTTGAAAATACCGAAATAAAGATATGATGAAGAAGAGCTTGCCCGCTTATTCCAGATTGTGCAGTTCAATTTTTGGAATTAAGGGTAACAAAAACAAAAAAAGTTCGCGGATTTATAAAAAAAAAATTCGTAGATTTTAAAAATTTATTGATAATCAAATTTGTTGGAGGCTAATTTTTGAAAATTTTATCATCCATAAACCTTCCCACGCAAAATTTAGGCCCGATTGGTTCAGCTGTTTTGACGCTTATTGGATTCAAAAAAACAAAAACCCAGAAAGACGAGCAAAGTATATATAATACTAGGTTTTTAGGGCGCTTTGCGCCCATCTTCTTTTTCAATTTTTGATTGTGGCTTTATCTGAGAACATCTTCTCTTTTTACAGTATAAAAAAAAGTTTGTAGATTTCATAATATTTTTTTTTGCGCATTTTCAAAATTTTATAAAAATAAAAAAAAAACTTTAAACACTAATTTTTGAAATTTGATCATTCAAAAACCTTCCCTGGGGTCATGTAAGGTCCCTCACAAAATTTGGGGCCGATCGGTTCAGCCGTTTTGACGTTTATTGGATACAAACAAACAGACAGCTAAATTTATGTATAGATAGACGGGTATTCCTTGTATACTTGGAACTTTTGTGCAGACTGATGAAGAGCATCATCAGTTTTAAAAGCTTAATCTCGATATTCAATGTGAGCACTTTTATATTTAAAGATACCTCCTTAATCCCTCAATTACGTACCATGGTGCACACTGCACGGCATATTAAAGAGTGATTAAAATAAATTTCTGCTTCATTGATTATGAAGGAAGTGTAAGTATGATTCACTTTTCAAGCTAGAAAAGCGACGATATCTTCCACATGTTTAGCCGAAAAAGGTGTAAAGTGTACATTTATGAATCGGACATGCCCCCTTTTTTTAAATGGAAGGTCCCTTATATGTTAAACTACAACCATAGCATATTTCAACTTCCATTTATATATTTCTGAGGAAGCAAGATATCAATTACTTTCAGTATCTGAAATTCTATATTACATAGATATATGCTGCATCCAATATTGGAAAAATAAAACTTATGCAAAACCAAGACAAGATATAGACATTTAATTCTTCATCGTATTGTGAGCTTTGAGCTATTTGTTTGAAACGTCTTTCTAGGTCTAATTACACAACAAAGTTGAATCCTATATTTCTACTTGTTTGGACATATTTTTAAAAAGTATTGGTCTGAGACTGTTCAATTTTTTTCTTTTTCTAACTAATACATGCCCCTCACTGCCAACTAAAACCTAATGCTTGAGTTCGTAGATAAACTGCCTAAATGCCTTATTTTACAGGATTTCCTACAAAGAATGAGTCCATTTCCTTGCATTCAGGGTTCCATGTAGACCAAAACTGGCTTATTTCAGTGCTTAATCATTTAGTAAGCCATGAAAATACTCAATTAAGAGCAAAAACCAAAAAACAAGCTTTAAATCGTAATATTTGCATAGTTTTGGGTCGTCTTTACAGTCTCTTCCTGTATACCCGACTAAATCTATTTTCATACATACTTTTATCTCATTGAAAATAAAACATAAATTGTTAAATATTACTCTTTTATACAATTTAAGACAACTTTGTTAATGTGCTTATTGTTGAGTTACCAAAACATGATTTAATTATATTTCAAGAAACTGTACGCATTTAGTCCTGGATACTCTAGAGTACGTTTCTTTTATCAACTATGTTCATCCTAATGACGTACTTTGAATGGCGATAGTTTGGTCGCTAGATGTCATTAGTAAGATTATTTTATAAAAGATAATTAGGACGCACAAAGTCGAAGACGTAAACTGGTCGACCATTTTATAATAGTTAATAAGGACGCACCGCACACAGTTGGGGACGTAAACTGTTAGACCATTTTATAATAGTTAATAAGAACGCACACAGTTGGAGACGTAAACTGTTAGACCATTTTATAAAAGTTAATAAGAACGCACACAGTTGGAGACGTAAACTGGTCACCATTTTCTAATAGTTAATAAGGACGCACACAGTTGGAGACGTTAACTGGTCGACCATTTTATAATAGTTGATAAGGACGCACACAGTTGGAGACGTAAACTGGTCGACCATTTTATAATAGTTAATAAGGACGCACACAGTTGGAGACGTAAACTGGTCGACCATTTTATAATAGTTAATAAGGACGCACACAGTTGGAGACGTAAACTGGTCGACCATTTTCTAATAGTTAATACCTTTGTAGATTTGGGAAGAGACAAACTCTGGGTAAGGGTTATTCATTCAGACCAAATAGATTCTAGTTACAATTCTTACGACACAAGTGTTAACTCAGTGTTTGTGTCCGACAAAACTATTAATAAGAGTGATAATTTTAGACTAAAGTGCTTATCTTACAGTAAAATATGTGAAATTGTATGTGTTTCTAATTTCTGTTTTTACACTTTTTTATTTAATCTTGGTAAAAAAATTCAACTAATATGAGAAAATGTTGTTTTCCTTACTTGTGTCTTCATGTCTGTAACAGTATAATTGGTCCAATTTCTCTGTTGCCACCTCTTGTACTTGTTCATCTATTTGATTCAGGCCATGTTACTTTATCACGCAAATATCAATAAATATAAAGATTTAAACGATTTATTAGTTTTGAGAATTATTAAATTATAAATACTAAACATTTGTTAGGCTCCCATGCAATTGCAAGATTATTTTATCCAGCATGCAAGTTTAACAATATTGCATAGATTCAAAAAGAACATATAATGTACTTGATAATCTATTTGATTCAGGTCATGATATTTTATCAAGCAAATATCAATAAAATATAAAGATTTAAACGAATTATTGGTTTTGAGAATTATTAAATTATAAATGCTAAACATGTAAGACTCCCCTGCAATTGCAAGATTATTTTATCCAGCATGCAATGATGCAAGTTTAATAATATTGCATAGATTCAAAAATAACATATTATACAATTGTTAAGTGCAAATATTTAAAGAAAAAGATTCTTAACGCTTGCGCTTACTTTCACTTGAAAAAATCTGCTCAAAAGTTAAGGGGTGGGGGGGGGGCGCAAAAAAGCAGAATTTGCACGGAATGGTTTTTGTGTCATATGGGCATGGCACTAAGAATGCGAAAAAAAACTTTGCAATTTTTGAGGGGGGGGTCAATGAATAAAAAAAGAGGAATAAGCAATGTATAATATACAACAAAACTTTCAATTCTGAATGTAAATTGTCCAAAAACTAGAATGTCAAATTTATACAACTTGCGATAAATTTTGCGCATCATACCATTGTGGTGATGATTTGCACAAATATATAGTTTTTAGGAAAATTTTGTGCGTGAAATTTTTACGCAATTTGTTTACCAATAAAATATGTCTCATCTTGCACAATATTAATATATTGAACAAATTCTAAATAAGCACATAAAATGCCTAGTATTGATACAATAAATATCCAGGAATAAAAATGACAAACAATGCATTTCCAAATAAAAACAAATATTAAAT